AAGTGTGATTAGCCCAGTCCTGTTTAATCTGATGATTAATGACATATTTGAAAAGTTACCCTGTTGAAAAAAACAGCATATGCTGGTTTTTTCAACAGGGTAGGAAAAGGAAATGAAGGAATATTATATGCAGATGATGCTGTTATATGGAAAAGAGGTCGGAATATTCCATATATAGTGATGAACATGCAAAAGGAAATTCAAATCCTAGAATATTGGTTTAAATTTTCTGTACAGAAATCTAATGTAATGTTCTTTACTAATAGGAAAATCAATGAAAACTACAAATTATGTCTTTATAGTCAGCCACTTGAAAGAGTTATAAAGTTTAAATATTTAGGAGTTTGGTTTGATGAAAAACATACATGGAAACACCATATTAATCATGTTGAAAGAAAATATAAAAAAGCCCTGAACTTGATGAGGATGATTACTGGACACAGTTGGGGAGCAGATAAACAGTCTTTAATGTATATTTATAAAGCTTTGATAAGAGCAAATATGGACTATGGAAGTATTGTGTATATAACACAGTATGCAAAACTAGATTAGGAAAACTCAACAGAATCCAATATAGTGCATTAAGAATTGCAATAGGAGCCATGAGAACAACACCAACCAACGAGTGCTTTATTAGTAGAAACAGAAGAAGTCCCACTAAATCTAAGATTCATTAAACTGTCATTAACATATTCGGTTAGACTAATAAGCAGTAATAGCAATCCAGCTGCATCAATATTAAATGCTTGTTGGGAATATCATAAAAAATCCAAAGGTTTTGGTTGGAATATAAATAATACGGCAGAACAATTTGGAATGAAATAATTTGTGTTTAGCCCTGCAGTAGCTTTAAGTGAAGTTCCTCCCTGGATGCTCCCTATTTCAGACATCAATACAGAATTACTAAAAGAGAAAAGAGAATACCAAGATGATCAAAGTTTTGCAAAATATGGCCAAATATATTTGTCTTCATTATATTACGGATATCTTAAAATATTTACAGATGGGTCAAAAAACAAAAATGGTCATTGTGGCATAGGAATTTATATTCCAGAATTTAACAAAAAAAATGGGTTATCTTACAGACTATCTTACAGTCTTAAGATAGAAAATAAACCAATTAAATCAGTCATATGTACAGACTCAATGGCAGCCTTACACAGTTTAGAAAGCAGTATTTCAGTTAGAGACGATTTAATCATTGAAACTAGACATATATTATTAAATATTAGAAATCTAGGAATAGAAGTTCAGTTTTGTTGGGTTCCAGCACATATTGGTATCCAAGGTAATGAAAAAGCTGATAAGATAGCAAAAGAAGCATTGGAAAAAGAGCAAGTAAAAATTAATATTTAAATGGGAAAAGGAGAGATTAAAGCCAATATGAAATAATGCAAATATGGCAAAAAGAATGGGAGTCTGAGTCTAAAGCTAAACATTATCATATAAACCAAGCAAAAGTAGGAGGAAAAAGGATAAATATGGCAAACAGGCGAGAAGAAGCAGTATACTCAAGGCTGAGATTAGGTCATACTGGATTGAATGATACATTGCAGACAATAGGGAAGAGTAATGGATTGTGTAAAAGATGTCAAACTGAGGAAGATGTAGAACATGTCTTGTTTAGATGCAATACAAAACTTTTCCACGACATTCTAATTTATTGAGATGCACCTGTAAATACCATGAATACAGGCAGAAATGGAAGAAGAAAATTAAATTGAAGATGACTGAAGTTACCTTGGCAGAAGACCACGATGTCGTTTATATAGCAAACACGAACTTTTACCATGGTAACTTCAGCCTAAAATATGTTAAGAGGTAAGGATAGCTGACCACATTAATCTTCAAATATGAGCGGATTTTATCTTTTAAAAACAACACTAATATAACTACATATATATACTACGTATAAATTATTTTATAAATAATGTAAATAAATTATTTTATTGTCTACTAATTACCAAAAATCACAGTTCTGTCTCTCCAACTCAATGTATTTCAATTGCCCGCTATGAACTTCCTGGAACTATTTGAGGTCTACGTGAATCACGTGATGATCGAGCGTTTTGGACTTCCGTTGACGTAACTCTCTTTCTAAGGCTCTGCATCTAACCGATGCCTAAAAAGTTATGGTATGATGTCTCTATGTATATCTACGGTGACGCATTGCTGCCACACACACATTTTTTTTCCACTCAATTATGTCGTAATAACGAGATGTTATGTCGTTTTAACGACATCTTTTCTCGTTAAAACGACATAAGATGTCGTTTTAACGAGAGAACATCTCGTTAAAACGGGAAAAGATGTCGTTTTAACGAGAAAACATGTCATTATTACGAGAAAAGATGTCGTTTTAACGAGAGAACATCTCGTTAAAACGGGAAAAGATGTCGTTTTAACGAGAAAACATCTCGTTATTACGAGAAAAGATGTCGTTTTAACGAGAGAACATCTCGTTAAAACGGGAAAAGATGTCGTTTTAACGAGAAAACATGTCATTATTACGAGAAAAGATGTCGTTTTAATGAGTAAACATGTCGTTATTACGAGAAAAGATGTCGTTTTAATGAGAAAACGTCGTTATTACGAGAAAAGATGTCGTTTTAACGAGAAAACGTCGTTATTACGAGAAAAGATGTCGTTTTAACGAGTAAACGTTGTTATTACGAGAAAATATGTCGTTTTAACGAGTAAACATGTCGTTATTACGAGAAAATGTCGTTTTAACGAGAAAACGTCATTATTACGAGAAAACATCTCGTTATTAAGAGAAAAGATGTCGTTTTAACGAGAAAACGTCGTTATTACGAGAAAAGATGTCGTTTTAACGAGAAAACATCTCGTTATTACGAGAAAAGATGTCGTTTTAATGAGTAAACGTCGTTATTACGAGAAAAGATGTCATTAAAATGACATAACATCTCGTTATTACAACATAATTGAGTGGATAAAATATGTGTGTGGCAGCAATGCGTCACCGTATACATCAAAGAAAAGGTACTCTTTAATTTTAATTTGCATTTCGAAAATGAAGTTTTTGGATATTTTAATTATGGTAATGTAAATAACAAAGTTTTTGTTATTAATCGATTTATTTTGTTGGTTAATTTCACATTCATAAGTGTAAATTTTCTAACAAAAAACCCTGTTTTACAGTGTTACAGTGTTGTAAAGAGTTGGAAAATTACTTGTGTACTATTCAACATTGTACTAATAGAAAGGCAATTAAAACTGTCAGTTTGTGTTCTATCTTCAAAATCTTTGAGTAATGTAAAGGTCATGCATGTCTCTGATTGTATGTATATATATATATATATATATAAAATGTTGTTGTTGTTTTTTTGTCCATTCTGAATTGTCATCATCATTACTCCAGTCTTCAGTGTCACATGATCCTTCAGAAATCATTCTAATATGCTGATTTGCTGCTCAGTCGTTATCAATTATTATTGGTGCTTAGTTATTAATAATGTTTTTTAGCGTTTTGTTGTTATATGTTGCTGCTTAATATTTTTATGGAAGCCATACTAAATTGCATAAGTTCAGAATAAGAGCAGAATTTATTTGAAATGGAAATCTTTTGTAACATTGTAAATGCCTTTATTGTCACTTTTGACCAATTTAATGCATTCTTGTTGAACAAACGTTGTATTTTTTTAACCTTTCGTGTCCCAAATTTCACGCTTTCCATAAATATTCCACAAAAAAAGCACTTTTCATCATTCATAATTATGTTTCAATCATTCATGACAAATGTTTCAGCAAAACGGCACATTAGAATGATCATCATGTGACAGTGAATACTGGAGTTATGGTTGAAAATTCAGGTTTGCCATCACAGGAATAAATTAGATTTCAAAATAGAAAACAGTTCTTTTAAACCGTAATAATATCTCACTATATTTCTGTTTTTACTGTATTTTCGAGCAAATAAATGCAACCTTGGTAAGCATAAAAGATTTCTTTAAAAACCTTTAAAAAATATTAACACCAGATATGACTCTGACTTTTCACAACAATGCCTTTCATTCTCCTAAAGAGGCTAAATGCACTGCAGAATAGATTTTTGATGTTTGAACAGTTCCTCCAATACGTTTAAATTCAATTGTCTTATTTTATTATATTTAACATTACAGAGAATAACTCCAAGTGTAGAAAAAAACATCATATAATTAAAAACGGTAGAAACTGTCGAAAAAAAAATATGATTAAAAATAATTACTAAAAAAAAAAATCCATAGATGACAGACGGGTCAGTTTTGGCAACAATGTATTTTACAATTTACAATTTTATTAAATTGGAAATAGATAGATCGATGGATGGATAGATAGACAACAATATAATATAAGCAGTAAATAAACAGTATAATACCCTAAAATCTTTGAAACATTGTCATGAACAATAACTGCAAACTTGCTGAGTGCAGTTGTATAATCTGCTGATACACATCAAAACAAGTTTCAAATATATCATCAGTACTGATTCTGTACTTCAAAGGCATCCTTTTGAACTGTACACGTAAGCATTTACTGTCATGTAGGTCCTTACAAAAACATGCATAATAAACATCTATGTCCAATTGAGGCAGTTCATTTTTATCTGATAAGAAAACATATGCATAAACTAAACTCGAAACACATGTACCAAAAACAATTCTTCTATGCTCAACAAAAAAACTCAAGTAAATTTTCCTCCACAGGTCATGTGATTGGATAACTGGAGAAACCAGTGGACCAACATCATTGCACAGTGCACACTATCACATATGTTGTTTTAATCATAGTGAAATTTCACAGTGAAAGGTTTTGGGATGGAAACAGTACTTTACTGGAGGTTAATTGAGTTCTTCCTGCATGAGACAACAGATCCACCAGATATGGTCTTTTCCAGGCATTTCCCCCTCAAGTCCCAACAGGTCCCAAGCACTCTATACTAGTCTAAACCGTCTCTGCATTGTTGTTTATCTTCTCCAACACTTTCACACTCTGCTCAATTATACAACTCTGTCTTCTCGGTGTATGTTGTCACCAAAAGCTAACAAAGTTTTCCCCGACGAAAAAGAAAAGCAATGGATCCAAGCAACTGTTTCCAGAGGCTAGACAGTGTGCGATGACCGCTGCCTTTCTCAGACTTTCAATATAATGGCAGGACTTGTCATGCATTGTTTTGAATGTCCATCTCGGCCTCCAGAAACAGAGTTCGGACGACATGATATGGCATAAAGCATGCAAAGAAAATCAGCAGAACAATAATGACGAGAGAGCAGGATTTCTTGTGATTGAACTGAGATCTTTGACTCTGCCTGGTCTTCCTTAGCTTTAGCAAATACAAGGCTGCAAAAATGTAACAGACTGAGATGACCACAAAGGGCATAACAAAGCCTAAAAACAAAACCCCTCGATTCAACGTGATAATGGTCCCCACCTGGGACGGCCTCAGATCCAGGCATTTGGTCTGATTAGAATCCTCATAAGTTCCGGCTTTCAGAAGCGGGATGGATGCCACAGACACGATCAGCCAGATTACAATGCATAATGTCCAGGCTCTCGTAGAGCTTTGCCAGCGCACGTATGTGAATGGCTTCACGATGGCGACGAAGCGAACCACGCTCAGAACCGCAAGGAAGTAGATGCTGCCGTACATGTTGATGTAGAAGACGTAGGACATGATCCGGCAGGTGATGTCTCCGAAGGCCCAGTAGTCCATGAGATAGTAGGCGGCTCGAAACGGCAGCGAGCACACCATCATCAGATCAGATAGAAGGAGATTGAGCATGAGGATGTTGACTGGAGAAAAAGATGCTTTTCTTCTGAACGATGAGCAAATGAAGAAGAACAGAGATATGAGGTTGCCAAAAAGCCCAAGGAAAAAGATGAACAGATAAGCAATTGGGTAGACGGTGTGCTTGAAATCACTGATGGAGCAGTTTGTGAAATTCGATGAATGAAGAGTCATTGTTGGGTTGGGGATTTCTGTAAAACAAAATCAGAGATCACGTTTAAAATTAATAAGGAATTTGAAGCATTTTCAAATTAGACAGCTAAATATGGTTTGTGGTAATATGGGTGTTTGTTCAATTTCAGACACTTTTATGTCCCAAGGGTTGTTTTTGATTAAAACTAACAGATTTTTAAAAATATTTTCGCTATTTTATTATTGATATTCCTGTTAAACTTTGTTTGATTTCTAAACAGTCAAAACCTTCCTCTATTAATTAGTTGGATGCTCATTTTATAATACAATCATTTTATAATACGAACCGAAATTGTACCCCATTTAGGATAGAAACTAAAATAAAAAGCAAAAAAATGCACAGCTGTTATCTGCAGTAAAAATTTACTTACTGTCTGAGGCAAAAGCATTTTTACAGTCTTTTACTGTTAAAATCACAATCATTTTTATGGGTCTGTACTGACATGCAAAGAAAAATGAGGAAAATGGGCAAATTTATGAGATAAAAGATAAATCCAATATCTTGCATTTGTATGAACTGAAGTAACAATACAATCTGCACCATCTACAAAGAGATATTTTTAACACCATTGTCATTATAATAAATTATAATAAGTACACTATTAAAAACAAGGGTTCTTTATTGCCCTTGATGGTTCCATGAAGAACCTTTAGGTTCTTTATTATGTAAATGGGGTTATTTAGATGATTAAAATGTTCTTCACACTAAGAAAAGGAAACTGTTCACTGAAAGGTTCTTCAGGGAACCCAAAATGCTTCTTCTATGGCATCACTATGAAAACCCCCTTTTAAACCTTTATTTTTCAGAGTTTGTGGTAAAATGACCCATATAAAGTATATACCTCACTATCAATAACCCATTGAAACAATGTCTGTTTTCTTCAACTTAAAAACATCTAATGCACTTACCTGTGAAGAGGTAGACAAAAAAAACTAAGTCCACAAAGTCCAAAAGAAGTCCTGTCCCCACAAATATTAGCTAAGTCCTGTACAAAAGTAAGAGTGGTGAGATGAAGCCATATAAAGACATGACTCTACACACGACTGCTGCTCTGGAGAAATTACTCCGTTTATCAGACCACAGACACACCCAATAATCTCTGATCTTCTGCTGGAGATATCAGTAAATGCATACAAACATATCCAGGATATGAAATGAACTATAACCTAATGATCAAACTATTTGTAAACCACAGAGCTGTAGAAGTATACATTATTGTCTGAACTAAGATGAACTCAGTTTGGGTCTGCTCGAGTGCAAACCATTTTAATGGGTCTAACATTGCTTTATTTTCTTTGAAGTCAGCATGAAATGGAAATTCACCCTATGTATTTTCTAAATGCATGTTACTGATCTTTTTATTTCTTGCAAATTTGGTAAGAAATATGATCTAGCCACTGGGATTTATTTATCTATTCCTTTTAGAAATGTACTGTGGTGGTACCAGATGGTAGGCATAATAGCATGGGGAGACTGGGGATAGATGTCATATTGTTTTACTACTCCAGTAAGTATTTCTCAGTGTTTATGAAAGTCAGTTTCTGTATAGACACAAAGTCTTGGCTACAATGAAGCCATTAAACCGCTATTGCCCAGGAATAAGATACTGTTCACAGTTGCTTGAGACCGGGGCATGTTGTCACACTATATGATGCAAGTTCTATCTATCTATCTATCTATCTATCTATCTATCTATCTATCTATCCAAGGGCGTAGTTTTGGTTTGAACATGGGGATGGGAGGGGAGGGGAGGGGGGTTGAAGCGTGAACTGTTTTAGTAGAGTCCCGGGTCATGCTCACTCATAAGGTTTATTTATTTGTTTGTTTGCTTATATATTTATTTTTGTGAAATGATCTTTTGTGCTATCATCTATGCAAAGTTGATGCAATAAAGTAACATCATAATTAACAATTACTTGCTTACATAGGATATACTGTATGTAATGTATTTTATATGATTTTGGCACTTATAGGCTATAGTTTGACAGAATGTTCTAATTCAACATGCCATGGAAAGTCAATCTAACTTAACATTTTCTTATATTGATATTGTTTATTTCTTACTCCTTAACAGTTCATCAGGCTCTTAATGATTTATTCTATGCCATCTTTTGGAATATCTGAAGGCCATGTACCATAGTTCTTAACTGTATAGCATTTGTTATAATAAGACTAGCCTATTAATCATTACCAGGGCAATAATGACTTTTTTTTAATTAATCAATATAGCATTTGTTATGAAGAAACAACCGCCTGCACATTTAGAACCAATAGCTACAACATGCCACAGTTGTAATATAAATCTATAGGGAAATACAGTATCTATTCCCTTAACAGATTATCTAATATAAATTCTACAACAAGTCAGACTAAATTTGACACAGTAAATAAGCCTACAATAAAACGTGATAAATTCTAGGAAAGGTGGTCATGATTTAAAAATATGTTAATAGCCTATATGCTAGTGCTGGTTCAAGACTTTTCTCCTCTTTTTATCAGTCTTTTTAGTTGATTTGCCTTTTTTAGATAATGTTTGACTTTCTCCATGGCATTTTAAAGTGGCTGTTTCTGTAAATAATTCAAATAGATCACATATTTAACCATCAGCTTCGTGATAGGAATGGCTCTCCCGAATCTTATCACACTTCTCGAGCGCGCTGGTGAACGCACCATGCTTCAAGTCGAACGCACCTAACAACCATAGACTGTATAAAAACAGCTAACAACACAAGTTTCGAATCGAGGCTTCATCTGACACGCCCACTTATTCTCGACACAAGCTCCGATGCCTCGGTTCAAATGTCACATGATCACATCTCTAACTGCCAGCCGAGAAGACTGGGCACATCTCTGCTTTCCTCACTCGTAGCCATGCAAAACTGGCCGCTTTACCATATCTACATCACCCTCTGACACCAGGAATGAAGACTTGAGAGTTAACACAAGGTAAACATTTAGAGAGTTTATATTGTAAAACCTCGCGCTGATACTGGATTGACACTTCTTCATGACTTTAATCTATACAGCCGGCTAAGATCAGCTAGCAGATTTTCTCATTCAAACACCTCTATATATGTTATATCAGCTGCTATTCAGCGGTACATCGTGTAATTTAACATCTTAGATTGAGGCTTGTGCAGTCTTGTGGACTGTTTTTATTTCTATAAACACGGGGTGTTATGAATGTAAACGATAGTTAGCTTGTTAGCTAACTAACATTAACAGCTGAGTAAGTTAACAACACGCCCGTTTATTTACATAAACATTTATTTTGACTAGATGTTTGATTACAACTATTATTGTAGAGTTTGTTGTTTGGTCACATATTATTTGTTTTCTTTAATAATAAGGATTTATTTTATTTACTTCAGTTAAACTAACAAGCTAACTACAGTACTTAAGCAAAATGTTACATGTATTTACAATGTTACTTTATAATTTCAGCTCAAAATTATAATATTTCATTCAAATTTAAATTGTACGTGATTTCCTTGAGAATAAAGTACTTTCGTGGTACCATGGTACTTATTTTTCAAGAACACCATGGTACTACGTTGAGTCATATTAATGAACATAGAATTAAATGGTGCTTATTGGTGATGGCTTTTATTTTTACATGAAAATGATATGATACTTCATTGCATTTTAAAGACTACTATATGTATGTATATATTGTATTGTGTGTGTGTATATATATATAGAGAGAGAGAGAGAGAGAGAGAGAGAGAGTTAATGTGAGTGTATGTGTTACATCACAGAGTAGTATGCTGGATGTGGGAAAGTGGCCGGTGTTTGCCCTCCTGCCCCCTGAGGAACTGCGGCTCATCCGTCAAGCCTGTGTGTTCGGCAGTGCTGCAAATGAGGCTATCTACGTTACCGTCAGTGATGAGGTACAGCCATGCTGAAAGCTTTTAGTGGACAGATGAACCATAAATGAGCACAGATCCTCACTGGAAATTGTTCATTAGGTTGGGTGGAGTTCTTGCTCTCTCATACACATCAGGACTCAATGATAAGGATGCTTCAGTAAGAATGCGTTCATAATTACGAACAAATCAGTAAAATTATGAGTCGTTTGCCATCATTTTAAAATTTAAAGGGGTCATATTATGCGATTTCAATTTTTCCTTTCGCTTTGGAGTGTTACAAGCTCTTGGTGCATAAAGAAGATCTGTAAAGTTGCAAAGACTAAAGTCTCAAATCCAAAGAGATATTCTTTATAAAAGTTAAGAGTCAGCCACGCCTACCTAAAACGACTCGTTCTAACACGCCCCCACATGTCTACGTCACTATGTGGGAAGATTTGCATAACGCCGCCCAAATGTTCAC